TATATGCAAAATAAGGTATTTTCTGCTTGGCATTGCATGTCAATTGGTGTGCTTAAATTTTATCGCTTTGAAGAGGGATATGACGCTTGGCGGGATAATCAGCTTGGGCTCATAAAGCTAGTGCTTATTTCAACTCTTAGCGTGACAGATTGCATATTTATTTGGCAGGGCACGTGGTCGTGGTTCTTGCAAGCGTGCATGAAGAATTTTGCGTGTTCCGAACTGGTCTTTTCTTAATAAGGTGTCGCACTGGGCCGAGAATTTATTTGAGCCCAGACCCTGGATTTTTTGGGCCTCAACACCTTGCCCTTGCCCATAGGGGTAGAAGTGCTCTTAGTGGGTAATCTATAAAAACCAAAAAGAGGACTAAGGCCCCTTTGGGATTGCTTTTTTTTCACCAAAAACTTGCTTCGTTTTAAAATTAAGTAGTTTAATGTGTTTGTTAAAAATAAAATATTCCAATTATTTTAAAATTAGAGGCCTTTTGACATCAACTTTTAAAAGCAGGTTCTATGTTGCTTTTCTGCTTTCAAAAGACGCACATATGAGCCTTTAATAATTTTTTTTAATCCCAAAATACCATCATTAATTTTTTAAAATGACACCACCTTCACCACCACCACCCCCGACCATCACCGCAGCCACCACCACCACATCCTCCTCCTTCTCTGCCACCATCACCACCACAAACACCACCTCCTTGTCCACCTCCACCACCAACACCAACACCACCACTACCATCACCACGTCGCCACCGCCACTACCACCTCCTCCTCCTTAACCTCCACAATCCCCACCACCACCACTACCACAACCCACCACCTCCATCTTCATCACCACCTCCAACATTACCACCATATGATTAGCGCATATATAACACTTTCAACATCATGTCTATTTTAGTCATTATTCACAGTTACAACTGTTTTATATTAAAATTTACCAAATAGTTTTGACAATACTTTTGGTACTAACAGCACTTTAAAAATATTTTTACCAAACATGAAGCTACTTTACTTTACAGCTAATTATTTTTAAAGCACCACAGAAGCAACTTTTTTAAAAATTGACAGCAATCTCAAACTAGCCCTAAGGCCCCCTTAGAGCAACTCCACCCATTTGCCCTTAGTCATGGCAAGGGGGGAGTTAGGGCAACCACTATTCACGTAAATAGTAGTTGCCCTTGCAAATAGTATTTTCCGTTTCCACCCGTTGCCATGGCAAAGGGCAATTACTATTCATTTTTTTATTTTTTTCACAACTTTTTTTACCACTATAATTAATTTGGATAATATTTTTAGATTAGATTTTTGGGTTCCTACGTGTCATATCTCACAATTGGATAAAATTTTCAATTTCAAATTTCAGATAAATTATAAAATAAAAAATAATAAAATAATAAAATTAAAAAAAAATTGGCTGGTATTTATAGAAAAAAAATTCATTAATTTTTGGGTATTTTTTAAAAAATTTTCCGAATTTTTTCCAATATTTTATTGCAAAAAAATTGGCTGCCGTTGGATTGGAGGAAAAAATCATATCAGAGAGCCCAGACGACCACGTGGCAACAGGGAAAAAAAATCAAATCAGTGGGTACTGTAGCAGTACTATAGCGGTACTGTAGCGCTGACGTCAGCAGCCCTCGTTTTGGACCTCGGGCTGAAGCTGCCTTCGGGCCAGCCCGAGTTGGTGGGTCCCACACCTCTCCCGGGCCTCGGCTGTCCGCTGGAACAACTTTTTTTTTCCCCCCCCCAGCCTTGGGCTGGGCTCCCCCGCTGGAGTTGCTCTTAGAGCTACTCCAGCGGTCAAGCCCAGCCCGAGGCTGGGGGAAAAAAAAATTGTGTTCCAGCGGACAGCCCAAGCTCAGGGGGGTGTGGGACCCACCAACCCGGGCTGGCCCAAAGGCTACTTCTGCCCGAGGTCCAAAACGCGGAGGGTGATGTCAGCTCGACGTCAGGCTGACATTGAGCACGCAGTAATCAATTTTTTTTACCTTTGGCGCATGCATTGCACGCGCCAATAGTAAAAAAAATTTGAACCAGCATGCGCTGACGTCAGCGCGACGCAGCTCCAACGGCTAGAAGCCACGTGGCACGCCCCCACCACTCCGATTTGGTTCTACAGCCTTCATCCAATAGCTGTCGTTTTTACAGCAATAAAATTATGAAAAAAATCGAAATTTTTTTAAAAAGATACTAAAACATACTTTAAAAATCTGATTTTTTTTCCTATAAATACCTATCAATACCCTTCACTTTCAACACCAATTCTCATACATTTTATTCTACTTCTACTATTACTCAACATTTTATTCACTCTTCACTCAACATTTTCATCTTTTCACCTTGTATTTTTATTTCTTATTTTTATGTTTTGTATTAAAGTTGGTGTACTTCATGTATTTTATTTTAGTAGTAGTAATTCTTAATGACTTGTATTGGATTTCTTTATTTAATAAACAAAGCATTCAATAAAAGACCATTTTATTCAACATATTCCATACATCAAACAAAACATAATTCAAAATTTAAAAAAAAACTACAAACAAGGCACAATAATAAATAAAAAGACAACACAACCAAACAATAAGTAATAAAAAACAACACAACCAAACCATAAGCAATAAAAAACAACACAACCAAACCATAAGTAAATAAAACGTAACCAAAGCATCTATACTCCATCATTCATCTTCATTCCCTCTCACCGCCCATAGATGCTCCATCAAGTCAAGTTGACGCCTTTCATGAATATACAAAGATTGCATCTCTGTATATCGATCTATCATCCGGGTCATGAAACGATCGTCCCTCACCAACGGTTCTGGCTCAAACGGTTCTCCACTTGGCCCCATGGGCCTTTCATAAATCCGGGTCAAGGCCGTGTTCATTGGATCCGGTTCGTAGACCTCTCCAGCATCATAATCGTACTCATCCTCCACAATCATATTATGGAGGATGATGCAAGTCATCATAATACTTCGGAGGATCTCCTCATCAAACATACGGGCCGCACCTCGAACAATCAACCACCGAGCTTGAAGGATGCCAAAACACCTTTCGACATCTTTCTTGTATCCCTCTTGATAGGTAGCAAATAATTTTTGCTTCTGGGATCGGGGATTCGGAATGGATTTGACAAATGTGGTCCACCTTGGGTAGATACCGTCAGCTAGATAATACCCCGTCTGGTAGAGTGTATTGTTGACTTGATAGGTAATATTGGGGCCTTGGCCTCTCAAAACATCGTTGAAGACCGGAGATTGACCCAGGACGTTGAGGTCATTTTGGGCTCCGGCAACTCCGAAGAAGGCATGTGAAACCCATGTGTCGAAGCCAGCAACGGCTTCTAGGATGATACTTTTTTGGCCTTTTCTATTTCCGTAATCACCTTGCAAGGCAGTTGGGCAATTCTTCCATTGCCAATGCATGCAGTCAATTCTACCAATCATTCCTGGAAATCCTCAAGCTTCGGCTTTTGTAGAAGCCGTTGGAGGTCCCTGGGAGTAGGTCTACGCAAGTAGTACCTAGTGTACAAATTTTCAACTGCATCATAAAATCTTACCAAAGCCTCCAACGTAGTGGACTTCCCCATTCGAGCAACCTCATCCACCTGATCAGCAGATGCTCCATACGCCAACATTCGTATAACAGCTATAAGCTTTTGCGCCGGAAGAAGCCCCAAAACCCCAGCAACATCACACTTTGAATAAAGTATGCATCATAATTGCAAATATCATGCATGACTTTATTGAACAAATGGGGTTGCATTCTAAATTGCCTTCGAAAATCAACATCAGAGTATAAAGAAGTTGGGATAAAATAATCTTCCAAAATATTCTTACCCCGAGAATGCCTATGTCTGTCCACATTCCGGCGACGGCCGACTTGTGAACTACGGCGGCGACTTTGGTTCTCTTCCTCTTCCATTGCCACTACTATGAGAACTTGTTCATCGACTTGTCTCTGCAACTCATTGATTTCATCGGCTCTACAGTTTCTCTCCTTTCTTTCTCGCTCATGCCTCTCCAAGCATCTCCTATATTCTTCTGTTGAGAATGTATGGAGTATGAATTCTAAACTCGAAGAAATGAAAATATAGAAAGATGTGGTGTGAGAGGTATGAGCTGAGCCTCTGATTTTATAGAAAAATTTAGCAAGATAGAGATGCCACGTGACTTGATTTGATTGGATGAAAATCTTATCTGAAATTTGAATTTTGAAATTCATCCGAAATTTGATCCCAAAAATCTTATTCGGAAATTTTATCCGATTATGAATAGTCTTGACACGTAGAAACTCGGAAATCTTCTCCGAAAATATTATCCAAATTAATTATTGAGGTGAAAAAATTTGTGAATAAAACAAAAAAATGAATAGTAACTGCCCTTAGCAAGGGCAACAGGTAGAAACACAAAATATTATTTTCAAGGACAACTACTATTCACGTGAATAGTGGCTGCCCTAGCTCCCCTTGCCATGGCTAAGGGCAAATGGGTGGAGTTGCTCTTAGTAAGTCCTCAAAGAGACCTTAGTATGCTCTATATTTTTTTTTTTAACAATTATTTATTTATTTTTGTTAATTTTTAATAGGATAGATGCATCAAGACAAGTTTCTAATTAACTCTTGATGGGAAGTCTCTATATCAGCAAGTCAAAAAGTTGAAACAGACACAACTCGAAATCACATGATAGCACATTGAAAGATTCCCTAAGAAAAATGGGGACAAAAAAAGATAGCTTTATGAGCCCAAGCTGATTATCCCGCCACGACCAAAAAAAGATTATTGCTTTAGTGTTCAATCATTTTTTTGTCCACCACTCACTCCCAACCCAAAAACAAAAAACAAAAAAACGATTGAACACTAAAGCAATAATCTTCTTAGTTAATTCAACATAAACCACCACTTAATTGAGATTAAGAAATTAAACTGCCTAAAAACAGGTACATATTCTGGCAAAAGAATAGTTTAATTAGTGAATTAATTAATTAGATATTACCTTATCAATGGCCAAAGAATCCAAAAGGGCAACCACATCGTGGACAAGGTCGATGAAGGTGTCATTCTCAGGTTCAGCTGGCTGCTCTGAAAGACCATAGCCCCTGAAATCAATGGCTATTGCCCTGTAGCCTTTGCTTGCCACAGAAACCAGTTGATGCCTCCAAGTGTACCATATTTCTGGAAATCCATGGAGGAAAACCACCGCCTTTGGTCCTGCACAAAAAAGTTAAAGTTGTTATAAGGAAAAAGCACTTCTGAAAAGTACTTGAGAAATCAGAATTTGGGATGATCATACCGCTTCCGATTTCAGCTACATGAAGCTTCAGTCCTCTAACTTCTACATGCTTATGCTGGATGTTTTCCATTGAGAAGCGATATGGAGAGACTCTTGACTCTTAGGTGGACGGAGAAAACTAAACAAGCTAGAGAGAATTGGACAGGGAAATAAATAGATATATATGGATAATGTCAAGCTTAAAGCGTTTATTGGATTGCCACTGTTGTCTTCATGTTTTGACTTTTCCGTGAAAAGAACAAAACAAAAATTGGATAGTATTTAAGCAAATTAGTTAGCAATCAAGTCCTATTAGTTTAACATTGGTAAGAAATCGATGACCATAGAAGGTACATGGAATGACCTATATATAATAAAACTTTCGGGGAAAAAAAACAAGAAGAAGAAGAAAGACAAACAATTGTTTAGCTTTATGTCCTATTTTTCATCAATTATCTTTTCACATTCATCTCATTCTCCAAATTGTTCCATATCTTTTTCTTTCCTCCTAATATAATCAAAATACGATCAAGAACGGTAGGGGCTCAAATTAATAGGGTGTTAATTGAATTGGCTATGATCTTTGGTGTGATCCGAAATTATCTTATACATGGTCCGTGTGTGTGAGTCTTCCTTCTCCCCCTTCTAACTTTAGCCCCCCAAAGAAAAAAGGCAGGCAGTCAGCAACACTAACTGATGTGTTGATTAAAATTATCTTTTATTTATAATTTTTTTTATAGTCGCAAGAAACGAGTGTGATAAGTATTTTATTTGGTAATGAGAGTTTGATGAGTATTTTTTTTTTCTTTTTTTTTTCTAATGAGTATTTGGGCTACAATAACGACCACCTAAATTTTATAGTGGAGCAAAAGTTATGACAATTTTAAAATAAAAATCGTAATCGCTATGGGAAGTGTGAGACTCTTGATCCTGAGTAGACGGAGAAAACTAAACAAGGTAGGGACAATTCCACAGGGAATAAATTAATAAGATATATATAGGTATTGACTTTTTAGTGAAATAATCGTCATTTTCTCCTAACTCACCTAATTCACATTTAAAGAGGAGTGAGAGAAAGATAATGTAAAGGGGGGGGTTTTTTGTATGTATTTATTCCCCTTAGGCTTCCAGGTACATTGAGTTGAGTGTCGGCGTCGTGGGATTTGCTTTCAACCTGGTCATTATTAGGTAAACTCAACCTAACTCTAACACTTTTGTGACCGGATTAGGTAATTCGGTTGGATTAACGTAAAATTAAGCTTACTTTTAAGTTTTGGTTAACACAATTCATACATAACGGTTTATAATTTTTTTTAAATCCAAGACCCGCTCATTATTAGGTTAGCCCAACCTAACTCTCTCATGATTAGGTTGAGCGGTTCAGTCGGGTTAACTCGAAATTGTGCTCCCTACCAGGGGTGCCTAGTTTGGAAAATTAATTTATGCGTTGAGTAAAATTATCTTTTGTTTATAATTTTATAGTTGTGGAAAAGAGAATGGCGATTTTTTTATTTTTTTATTTTGGTAATGAGAGTTTGAAAATAATAAGAACAACGTAAATTTTTGGGTTAACTACATAAAAGTGCACAATCTTTGAGGGTCATTTCAAATTAATACCCAACTTTAAAAATTTCCATGTAGATACCTAACCTCATAAAAAAACATGCAAATTAGACATTTCGTTAGTTAGACAGTTAGTCAAGTTGCAAAGTGCTGACATGGCCTTTCCCATGTGTTTTATTTTTTATGAAGTGGACTCCACGTGCAGTGGCGGACCCACAGAGGCGCAAGGAGGTGCAGGTGCACCTCCTCTCACAGGAAAACGCATTGGAGATGCAAGAATTTGCCCCTTTGCTTGTGCCCTCCAAGTGTTCGATTAAAAGCCTCAAAGAGGCTGTTTTGTTGCTGCTGTGTGAGACCCTGAATATTTACCTTAGATTGTTGAGCTTGATCTCACGATCACGTAGGAGAAAACGGTTCATCAATTGGACCTCCACAACCAAAGTTATAGATTTTAGAAGATTTTGAAAAAATTTCACTTAAGTTGCAGACACAACCAGCCGAAGAAGAAGATGACTTGTGTTTGTAGTTAGAATCCTGTGCTTCTCAACTTGCATTCCTTTTTAATGTGGTCCACTATCAGGGCGCCATGTGTCAAATTTTAATTAGACCAAATTTAGAAATTCATTAAAAATTCATATGTTCTCCAAAAAAATTCACCGAAAAATACCCCAAACTCATAATCACATCTACTTTTATCTTGTGACCTCCAAATCACATGTACTTTGGGTTAGATTAATTGGTATTGATTTTGGTTAGATTAATGGATGATTTCATATGAATTTTGATAGACTAATTGTGTAATTGACATGCATTTTGTTCATATTTGATATTAATTTTGGTAAATAATTGTGTAACATGAATTTTGTGCATTTAATTTATATAGAAAATAGATTATAGTCAATTAGGCTTAGACGTAAAACTCTTATTTATTTTAATTATGGATAATATTAGTGTTGTTTAAATTGTAAGGCTATTTGGTTATTATTATTATTTTTCGGATGTTTTAGTCTTTTAACATTGCCCCTTTCTTGAAAAATTCCTAGATCCGCTACTGTCCACGTGGACAAAATCATTAACAAAAAAACTCTTTATTTTTAAATTAATAAAATTAAAATTAAAATCAAATATATAAACAAAATAAAATTAAAAAAGTAACAAAACAAACTAAAAAACAAACAACTTGACTAACAGTCAGCACTTAAGAACTTGACTAACAATCTAACTAACGAAGTGTCTAATTTGCATGTTTTTCGTGAGATTGGGTATCTACATGCAAGATTTTTAAGGTTAGGTGTTAATTTGAAACGACCCCTCAAGGTTGGGTGTTTTTATCTAGTTAACCCTAAATTTTATATTGGGGTAAAAAGTGATGACAATTTAAAACAATAATCGCTATGGCTAGTGTGAGACTGAAAATTTTCATGGCATGAGAGTTTGGTTTACATGATTGCAATTACAATATTTGGGTGGTGCACCATGAGAACTGAAAAATATGAAGTTTGCATAATTCCAATTATAATATTTGGGTGCTGCACTCATTGAAGTTCAAAAGAGTTTTGAAAAATATAAAATAAATAAATTCACGCGTGGAGATTTCAACAAAATTTAATACCAATTCGCTGTGGACAATTTAAGCCCGTTGGGGCCTCGCCGGACTCCGGATGGGAGGATGCCTCATGTGAAATCCAGGTAAACATTACAGAATAAGTAAGTTGTTAATTCCAAACATGAAAGAAAAAACTAATCTTCCTTCTTTCTTTTGCCATTGATGTCCTGGAAACCTAAAGTTAATAAGGCCCAGTCTTTTTAGTATCTACCATGCATACATGACATTATTCTTCTCTCATGGATTATTATTGTTCCTCAGGCACACTAAGCATCTGCATCATGCACCATGTTTGCCAAGGAAGGCAATGATTAGCTGATTAACTTGCTCCGGAAGTTGTTCATGCATAAAATGAGTCCCTTCCTCAATGAATTTAACGTCCAAATTGGGCACAAGATGCTTCATTGCCCCTGTCCGTATGTAGCTGTTCACTCCCGGTATCTTTAAGCTGTAGTCCTTCTCACCCACGATAAGCAGTGATGGAGCTGACACTTTTGGATCAATTAAGCTGCGATCCACTTTTAGTTTTCTGCACCATTGAGGAAAAGTCTAATGAGATTTATTAAGTTCGACTAGCTAGGATCATCCGAATTGAGTACTTCATTCACTTTTATGGTCTTGATTTATTTTACCTACCTATAGGGAACTTGCAGTGCAAAACAGAATCCAGATTTCTCATATAAAGATGCATAGACACAGAGATCTTCCTCGGAAAACCATGGTGGCAGAGGAGTAGCAGGGTCAATCAAGTCCATGATTTCTTGATCAGCAGCAGCTATTGGGATCTCACTTCTAGAGAAGAGAATGTAGATGTTCCTTATCACTGTCTTCACATCAAAGCGGCCAAAATCTGCTTCTGCCCGCCCCGGCTCCTATAATTAGGCAAGAAATTATCGCCTCGTTTTGCTACTAGTGCGCTTTTGTAGGAAGCACTTTTGCTCATAAGAGCAGGTTTTAGATATATATACCTGCCACCTTGATATGTAGAAACCTTCTGGGAGGGGATGATTTTGGACAGCAGAGGGACCTGGTTGAATGAAAGGTGTTCCTAATGTTATGATTGCAGATACCCGCTCTGGGTGGAGGACACCTAGTCGGTATGCAGACAGAGCTCCAAAATCCTTCCCTACAATAAAAGCCTGGTACAAATAATCAAGGTTGAACTTTGAGTTCTTGTACTAAATAATTATAGAGTATTTATACACACAGAATGCAAGTTGTTAAATAGTTCTTCAAAAAATATATAACCAACTGAACAAACAAATAAAGTTGAAAATGGTTTATATATAGGAAAAATAGGATGAAAGTGAACTATGATATGCTTTTTTTCTTTTATTTCCTGCGTAGTTCGATCATTCTAGGCTTTATGTCAGGTAAGATCAACCCTAAAGCCTCACATAGATAAAAGATCTGGGATTCTAGATAGAGCCATTGGGACTTAAAGCTAAGGAAACAAATGGGAAAGGAACTAATGCATTTAAGGATCTGTAAACTCATGTCTTAATCAAACAAAACTGACAGTTTACTTGGACCAGGTAATTAGGACCAAAGGGCCAAAAGCAATCAAACAACACCAAGGACCAAAGAGCCATGGTCCTGAGAGAGAGGGGATAAAGTGGTCTGCAACAACTAAATGTACAAAAATTTGCGGTCTATAAAACTTGATATAATTAAAATGAGGAATGTAATTTTACTTTTGGGAAAAAACAATTTTCTTTTGAGACCCAACACTTACTTCAAATGTTGTCTGTTACCCTAGTATGAAATTACCATTAATGACAAAAACATTTTCCAGCAGAGCATTTTCAGTGAACCAAGTTCGAACGCAAACCTAATAGCTCAACTTCATTTAAAAATAAAAAACTCAGAAATCCACCACGTTTGGTGGCTCAGCTTGGATTGGATTGAGGTTGAGTCCAAACCAACCTTATGAGTCCCACCGCTTTAGGTGGGACTTATAAGACACATTATATTGGACTGTTATCCATTTTAACAAGTCCAGTCCCAGTTCACCAAACAACGGTCAGAGCTCTTGTCCATTTTAATTTATATAGTCAATCCACACCCTCCCACCAAACATAGTTACAAGTCCATTATAACGCATCAAATTGATCAGATATGACAACAAAACATAAGACCAAAAATTAAAATTAATCAATCCAAAGTACATCATTTGAAACACATTTTCTCAAATTGGTTTCCCTGCGTGTAGTGAGGAATGAATCAGAAGTTGGACTGTGGGTTCTTCATGACTGAGGGTATTTTAGAAAGTTACAGTAGGTGATCAAGAGAGTAATTTTACTAAAATAATAAGTGGGTGTAGTGATGTTTGGTCCCGATAAATTTTCCTAGGATAACTCGCTATGAGAAGAAAGTCCATTAAAAGAAAGTAGAGTGAGGACAAAAGAAGTGTGCTTATTCATAGAATAATCAAGAGTTTTGCTGTGAGCTGTTGAACTGTTGAACTGTCGCTAGCTATTTGCTAATACATTAACACCATTAATCTAACCAAACGTGTAATCACCTCTAATCTACGCAACAAGCATATTCTTTTCTTTTTCTTGAAAAGTAAACAAAGGTGAATTCGATGTCAAAGTAATTGTATTTTTTCTACCACTCCAATGATCCAATCAACAAAGTCGGAACAACACTTCAGCCTTAAGTTTTTGTCCCCGGGCGAAAAGTTATTTTTGGTCCCTATAATTATTTTTGGTCCGTGTTGGATTTAAAATTACAGAAATAAAATTGACAAAATTGTGTACTAAATGTGACTTTTTGCCTAACTAATAAGTTAATAACATTGGTTTTCTTGCAAAGAGTAGCGTAATTAGCGGGTTAATTACCTTGTCAATGCCCAAAGAATCTAAAAGAGCAACAGCATCGTCAACAAGATCGAGCAAGGTGGCCTTTTCGGGTTCAGCTGGCTGCTCCGAAAGTCCATAGCCCCTGTGATCAAAGGCTACTGCTCTATACCCTTTGTTTGCCACAGCAACCATTTGATGCCTCCATGTGTACCAGATTTCTGGAAATCCATGGAAGAAAAGCACCACCTTTGGACCTGAACAAATAATTCATGTCAAAACAGGGAAAGAATTAAGAAACAGTGAGGTGAATATTTATCTTAGCTATTTTGTTTTTAATTGGTATGAGAAATTTTGGATCGTACGTACCGCTTCCGATTTCAGCTACATGAAGCTTTAGTTCTCTCACTTGCACATTTGTGTGCTGAATTTTTTCCATGAGGGCGAAAAGATTGAAGGGAGAACGGGAGAAAGAAAGATGAAACAGAGAGTAGGAGAGATGAGGGGGAAGAGGAGAGAATAAATTCAGTGTATAGATACAGTTTTGCTTTCCAGTTGTAGTGTTGTTCTACCACTTGGCACTTGCCAGGTGGTGGTATGCACTTATAGTATGACGCCAGCTGGACAATAGCTATTAATATTGGCGCCTAAAAACTGCAACTTTCATCCTCACCGCCCAGAGTTGTGCATTTGTCCTTTTTTTTCCTCTTGGAATCTCTCAGAGAAGCCATGTCTTTTCGTTCAATCCACTGGGTATTGTTCTTATATCAACTATCATAAATTCTTTTCTTTTTTGGTCAAGAACTATCATAATTTCTTGACACCAAAAAAATCATCAAAATCTCTTTTGGGTTGTTAATTATACAATAAACCCCACATAAAATTGATAAACGCCTGTTTAACAAAATCGATTTTTTTATTACGAGCGATAGTCTGAATTTATAGAGAGGAGATTGAAACTTGGTTGCAATAGAGCAAATTTACTAGTCTAACCCAAGTCAATATAACTTGTACACATATTATAATATGGGTGAGGGATAGGGTTCATATTTAGTCAAGTAAGGCCAAATCAGGCCAAACAAGCATCCAAGGGATGTTCCCAATTTTTCCCACTCCTGCCCTAAAAATGCAGGGAAAGAATAGAAAAATAGGAGCCCTGTAATTGCTCCAAGCTGGCCTAGCAAAGAAGCATAGCAACCAGAACCAGCTCATAACCCTAAATCTACATACAATAAGACTGCGTAAGAGAGACCATCTAGGGTTGAGGGCTGAGGTTCTCGCTTCTATACCCAAAAGCTTAAGAGATACCATAAAACTAGTATCATTTATAAGTATTAATATTGTTCAGTGATCTGAAATATTATGCAGCTAGATAATAATGATCGTGAACAAATGAATTTGATTCCGCTTTCTAATAGTTGTAAATGTAATACAAGTATCTCATTGTGAAACCTATAAGGCAACCCAAGAGATAGCTCTTAACTTGACAAGAACAGAACTCAAACATTTAATGTGCTCCCTTTGGTATCTACCTTATTTATTTGGCTGAAAAGAACTGTCTGTACAAGCGCAAGGTTCTCCTCAGAAATCCACATCCTGCAAGCTCATACTCAAGATAGTCCCATCAGTGACGTGAATGCTATGAATTATGAATTGTTTGTATCCTCTTTCAAACCAATTGAACGGTAGTAAGAACTGGAAGGATTCTGTTCATCGAACGAGCTTTCCTGATCAATCATCCTTTCTGCACAAGATGCTCAACATCTCCTAGTTCCACTTGACCCCCTTCCCCTTGCCATTGTTCAGTCTGAAAAAGCAACTCGATCTGCTCCAATGACTTTCCTTTGGTTTCTGGAACAAAGATGTAGACAAATGCAACTGAAACAGCCGAAACTACAGAAAAGATAAAGAATGTTCCCCCAAATGAAATTGCATTGGAAACTGAGAGAAAAGACATGGCAACTAGGCCACTGCACACCCTATTGCCCACCGCCCCAAGTGCTCCTGCCTGAGCACGCAGCCTTAGAGGAAAGATTTCGGATGTCAAAACCCAGCAAACAGGACCAATTCCAACTGAAAAGAAGGCTACATTCCCACAAACTGACAAAATTGCCATTGCAATCCCAATCTGCCCTTTCCCAAGAAAAGTGAGAGTAAAGGCCAAACTGAATAAACAAGCAGTCATTCCAATAGTGCTGACATAAAGCAAGGGCTTTCTTCCAAGCTTGTCAATAAGGAGAATAGCAACCATTATAAATACAGTCTTTGTGACACCCACAGCAACAGTTGCGGCAAGTAGATTTGTTTTATCCTCAATTCCAGCTTCTCCGAAGATTTCAGGGCTGTAATATACAGTCGCATCTATTCCTGTTATCTGTTGGAAACACTGAATTCCAAACCCAGTGATAAGCATTCGGCGAAGTGCAGGAGATGGACTCAACAGTTCACGTGTCACACTTTTCTCCTCATATTTCCCTCCACTGGACGTGTCAGCAGCTACTAGTATTTCATTCAGTCTGTCCTCCACCTCACTTTCATTTTCATTTGTTTTCAACAACACTGATCTTGCCTCATCAACACGGTTCTGTATGACCAACCACCTTGGGGACTCGGGGATTATGAAAAGTGCAAAACCAATGAACACCGAAGGCAGAATTCCTACTCCAAGCATTATCCTCCAGTTTATATGTGCTGGAAGACCAGAAAATGCATAGTTTGAGACGTAGCCTAGTAAAATTCCAAGATTTATAAAAATTTCAGGGAAGGAGGTCAGTGAGCCTCTGGCAATGGTGGGTGATATCTCAGCAATGTAAACAGGGGCAATCATGACACCGAAGCCAATTCCAATGCCGGCCAGGAGTCTTCCAACCATCAGTATTTCAAATGAAGGAGCAAATACCATTACACCTGCACCAGCTTGAAAGACAACAGCAGCCAAGGCCATGGTCCACTTTCTACCAATCATATCGGATGTTTTACCACCAGCTAAACTACCGAAGAGCGAAACAATGCTCAGAATCCCAACAAGTACTTCTTCTTGTACCTCGGTGATCTTTAAATCTTCCTGAATGAATATGATTGCTCCACTCATGACACCTACATCTGCCAATTGAGAAAATTCAAAGACTTATCTTCAGATTCAGATTGATCAAACAAAAAACGGGGCACATTTAGAACAAGTATAAACCTGATTACTTTTCTTTACTGAAAGTGATCAAGGCGTTATTTGCAAACAGCATTAAACATATAGCCAAAGTTCCTCTGTAGGGGGGGAATATTTATCAAAGATACCAAATATGAGCAAAAAAAAACACAGAAAGTGTTCCTAATGTTGGAAGAAAACTGGATGATCCACATTTTCTCCAAGGCCTCGTTTGGTGACTAGTATTGGATTGGATTGGATTGGATAACTAAAGCATGTTTAAGGAAGAAATGAAAAAAATAATTACCAAGTTGAAGGTAGAAGATGGATTACTCAGACGAAAACTTATCCCATCTAATCCCCACAAATTGGTAGGATAGCAACAGCTTATAACTAATCCCTCCTAATCCCCCCCAAAATTTAAAATCATTCACCTCTACCTTCACTTTTTCCTTCAACATACCTTAGATTTAGTGACTTATCCAATCCAATCCAATCCTAGGCACCAAACAAGCCTAAGTTTTAAGTATCGCATCACTTGAAAGCATAACTATACATAACTATACCTTTCGCTTCATGGCGGAGGGATACATTTTGTTCTAAAATCACTCAGAAACATAAATAATAATATAAAAAACTAGCTCCTTGATCTTTTACTTCCAATGTTATGAACTGATATCCCGGAAAAATAAAAGGCAAATGGTTTATTTCACTTTAGGTACCTGAACTTTGGGTCTAATAAGTACCAAATCAAACTTAGTTTGAATAATTAATAGATATCATGGAAAATTTTGGCACTTGCACATTGTAAGTCCTATATGAACACAAAATTGCCAATGAGATGTGAAATTTTTTTCAATAAAGTTTGATTTCATACGTATTAGATCCAAAGAATTAATTTAGGGATTAAATGTTGGACATTAAAGTTGAGCACTAAAATCCAAAAATAAAAAAACCAGAAAAGAAGAAAGAAACAGTATTTGGAACGCTCAACAGGCTGAATTTGGATTGGATGTCTTGTATACAATTCCCAGTTTACTTTCCTTTGCTGCTAAATTAGACAATCCAATAAAGCACATAGGATTATTAGCAAGTTTTGGTATTAATCAGAAAGGAATAAGAGATTCTTTAAGCAATTAAGCACAACAATTAACTACACAAAGCAGATCATAAAATGCAACCGACAAACAGCAACAAACTTATAACATACAAGGCTCACCATTTTCACACACAAACAAACATAAAAAAATATTCGGGCATACATACATTTACAGATACATCCATTAACACATCCTGCATAATAAGGACCTTAAAAACTGAAAAGTAGTAAAGAAATCATGTACCATAGCCAAGAAGAACAGAGTTGAGAGAAGCAAAAATGGCACAAGCAAGGACATATTTCCTGGTTTTTTTGCTCCTTTTTTCTTGTAGCTGGTGCTGTGAAGCATCTTCATCTTCATCTGGGAGCTGAGAATCCATCCTCTTGTATTTGTTCTTGGTTCCCAATGCAACACTAGACAAACCCATTTCTCCATTTCCAGTTTCTCCAACACCCACCAACCCCATCTCACTTTTCTCTGTAGATCTCTCTGTAAATCTCTCTGTTTCCAATCATAAAACTGAAGAACAGGAGCAGACCGATGGTTGTTTTTGGGGGGTTTGGTTCTTGTTTGACTGCTCAATACTTTAGACTATTAGAGACCGTGTAATATATTGTAGATCTGAAACAAAGACAGGAGAATGAGAAAAAAAAATATTTCAGCAGGCAAGTGGGGACCTTTCTTTTTGTCAAGCAAGAAACCCACTTGAGATTTTTACATGTGCAAAGGATTTAACGTCACAAGACCTCGACCTCTTACTTAATTGGCTCAAATGGCGCTTTCTAGGTAACAGCTGGGGAGCTGTCTGTAAAAGAAAATATGAGACCATTTTTTTCAACATTATTTATGTACAAGCATCCTTTTTATGTTTTTGTTTTTTTTAATGAAAGAAAAGTTTCGGGGGAGAATTGCGTAAATTTTGGGTTTACTTTTTATTTATATTGGTAAATTTTCTTTAATTTTTGTGTTTAGATGTAAAGATTGTGTTGGAAAGAATAGTCGTACCCAAAGAACAAATGGTGAGTTTGGACTTTGGAGGAGCCGTCAATGGAGAATGTGTCGTAAATGTATGTTACGCGTCAGAAGGTTATAGGATTATTTGCTTCCATGTCTCCTCATAAGTTGGGAATTTCTACTTATGATAATTAATTCTTTGAATTTCTTTGTGTATGTGTGCCTGCGAGACAAGACAAGACAATATTCATACAGATTTTTTTATTTTTTGTAGAAGACAGGGCAATATTCATAGATTGTATATATTTTAAGTGGCTTAGTGGCATGCACTTCTTTTTGGGTAAAAGAGTTAAAAGTGTGAAGACCTCTCTCTCTCTCTCTCTCAATGATGGGACGAAAAGGATCCAGAGTGGGCTTCTAGATCTTCTTATTTTGTGGCTTACTATTATCTTTTAGAAAAGATAAATTGATCAAACAATCCACTAGTGTAACCCCCCATTTAGATGAAGGAATTGAAAATTACATAAAATTCTAAAATGACGGAATTTAGATTTCCATTATTTCAATTTCTAGCAATTGAAAATTTCAGTGTTTTGATTTATGTATGTCGGATTTTCTAAATGATAGAATTTTATAAATGACACTATGGAAATTGTGAAATGACGCCTATTTTGGTGGAAATTAAACTTGAGAATTTGATACCCCAATTTTCACGATTTTTTCCACATGTCATTTAATAAATTCTATGCTTAGGTTGCCAAACAAGAGATGTCAATTTCTCCTCTTAAATTTGGAGTTATTTTTCCTCATCTAAACGGACCATAAATGGTTTTAATCAATTGATTCTTCAGAAAAGATTATGGATCTGAGTCCTAGCATCTATGTAGTATGCGCGAATTTAGTATGATATCACCCCTCTCAATAAAAAAGGTCTTAAAAAAAAGAAGAAGTATAACTGTCACAATAATGACTTTTCTTTTACAAGAGTTATTACCACAGTGGCATATTTTCTACTTGAGTCTCACAAGTAGTGACAGAGCTAGCTCAAAGTTCATCCTTATTAACATTTTAAAACATTTGTCTTCTGGATCTTTTCACTTTTAATTGAACTTATTTTTTATGTTTAAGTTAGACTTTGAATGTGAGAATTCGAGAATAAGATTCTTAGTTTTATGAATAATTACATTCTTCATTAATGGAGGTTTGCTTTTATATAGCTTATGAATGGCTAGTTTCTCGCTGATGTGGACAACGTGGCTTGCATCTATTGGGCCAATCGAGACTTGCAAACCAGCCTATCATGTCATTTAGCTATTTGACTTAGGACGTGGGATAATTAATGTGTATGAGCATGATATTTGGAATATTACTCAAATAACGGTAATTGTGAAATGTCATTGGGGGATCTCAAGCCTCTGTATTTAGAATCCATGCATTTTTCCACGTTTGGATTCATCTCAGCTGTTATAATAATCCAACAATCTACAACATGATAGGCAACTATCATAAGTTTAATTTAATTTTAAGAGTCTAAAAGTCCGATTTTGCCCTTCCAATAAAATTAAGAAAGAAAAAAAAACAAAACAAGAAACCAAACCCACCCCCTCCAAGCATCGACGTTGTTGCACTCGCACCACCACCCCCAACCTCCCTTATTTTTGTATTGGGGAACGATGGACTCCCCTGCTCTCCAAGTGTATAGCCTTTCAAAAGGCTGGAGGTCCCAAAGTGCTCTACTGGTAAGACGTCAGTTATGTTGCTTTTATGGTGTTTCGACTATTTCTGCTTTTTAGCTTTCATATTGTTATGTTTGTTTGTTTGTGGCACTTTGTTGCTCGAGTTCTTTCTCTTGGAGAAGTTCTAGTGTGCTGTATGTTCTTCTCCTTTACGTTGCTTGTTGCTACAACCTTTCTAGCTTTTTAATGAAAACATATTTTCGAACAAAAAAAACAAGGAAATGTAGCATATACTTTAGCTTTTCAACTCTATGATTTAGGTTTTGATTTCTACTTGAATTGGCTAATGAATTGGATCCGTGCAAACTTTTCTTGTCAAAATTCTTACTGGATTTTGATTCCTTTCTAAATTGGTGTTGATTTGGTCATTTTATGTGTTTCTGGGTATGTGATTTAGGTTGTTTTATTGTGAGATATTTTCTGGGTTTGGTTTCTACATGTTATGGGGTTGTGGTGATAGAAAAGAAAAAGGAGGCTGTGAGAAAGAGAAGACGATAGAAAGAAAGGAAGAGATGGGTAGGGCCACCGGTGACCAATGCTGGTGGCAGGAGGAGGGTGGCCGCGGTGGGTTGCTAATGGGGGAAGTTTGTGATGGGTTTGGTTTTTCTTTTTTCTGTTTTTTTTAATTTTAAGTTTTGAATGTTTTTATTTTTATTATAAGGGAAAAATTGAACTTTAGGTTGTTAAAAAAATATGGTGATTCTCATAAAATACAACTAAATTTATTGTTGCTGATGTGTCATATTATAGGTCATTAGATTATAACGATGACTAAGATCAAGCAAAATGCGAGAAAATGTGCTCAGTAATTTTGTTTTCTATTTATTTTTTATTTTTTTAAGTTTTAAGTTTTGAAATTATTTTTTTATTGTAAGGGCAAAATTGAACTTTAGGTTGTTAAAAAAATATGGTGATTATCATAAAATACAACTAAATTTATAGTTGCTGATGTGTCATGTTATATGTCATTAGATTATAATGACGACTAAGATCAAGTGAAATGCGAGAAAATGCGTAAATTCTAAATACAGAGGCTCAGGTTCCGTCATTAGGCATGATTAGTCGGGTGACATTACACCAAGCGTTGACCCTACTGATTCTTCTTTATTTGGCCATGATGGACTTTAGAGGTTTTGGACCTCTACGTGACCCAAGTTCTCAATTACCTTGGAAGAGGAAGTGTCCTTGTTGATGGCTTGATGCAGAATGCGTAGGACCTAAATTAATTAGTTTCCTAGATTATCTAGTTTTCCAAATTCTAGTAGGATTTCTATTTTATTCGAGTTAGGATTTCTGTTTTAGCAAGGAATTTTTATCCTATTATCTCTAGGTTTTAGTTTGCTATACATACCCCATGTTGTTCTTTAAAATTCAGATTTGAAGATTTGTAGTTCTTTTTATATTCTTTTTTGTTCTATTGTTTCTGTCTTTTCTTTCGTCTTTTCGATCCATATTTTCTTCTTTGGGTCTTATATTGTTCTCTATTATATGTTTAAGTACTTAATCTAATACTTACAGGCTATTTTACATCATGGCTGGTTGTAGTAATTGTCGAAGGGAGGGCATTACTTTGACTCAAAAAAAAAAAAAAAAAAAAAAAAAAAAAAAAAAATTAATGACTAATAATGCATCCTGAAACATTGTTCAAATCCTACTTTACCCCTTTAAAGTCAAAGTGTCACACTTCCCCCTTGACCAAGGTTTGATATTCCACATTGCCCCCTATTGTCAACTCCATCTAAAAGTCTGTAAGTTTGATGACGTGGCATGGTTGTTTTAGTAATTTTGTGCATCTAGGTCATTTACTCACCAATTTGAGTTGGTGATGTGGGAAAGTGGAGCCCACCTCCAGCATAGATAAAATAAATAAATAATAATAATAATTTTTGTTAAATCATTCAAAAAATATTATTTTAGAAACAATTGAAGGAAAAAAATTGCTAATTTTCAAGAAAACAAAAAACCTGGAACCCACTGACCCAAATATAGCCCCCATCACCCCCTCCCTTGATTTCTTTTATGCTTCCCCTTTTCCCCATTGCAACCTTACTAGACCCATCCCTCTAGCCCCTCAACCCCGCATAACCTAGAGCAGAGTGCAAAAGAAGCCAGAGGAGCTCGTTTTGGCGATCAAAGGAGATGAATTGGACGAGCAGGGTGTTGATGTCGAGGTACTTGTGGTGGCAGATGAGAGGGTGAAGGAGGAATAAAAGGGGTGAGGGGTTTGGGTTAAGGAAGGAGCGTGGGCCTGGGCCCATTGGAAGAATAAGAGGATAGAGCTGGGCTTGTTTGCTAGGGTTTTGGAGCTGAGGATGAGTTGTGTGAGGTAGGGAATGTAGGGTTTAAGGGGTTGGAGTTGTTTGGGCCAAAAGCAAAACACGCACAGGCCCACTTCTCAAAAACACCGTAGAGCAAGAGAAATAAAAGACCTAGGCTCCAAAATTAACAAAACAGAAAAGAACCTAGACCACGTCTTTTCTCAGAGGGTGGCAGGATTGTAAAAATGCCAAAGAAAAATGGGCAAATACGTTCTAGACAGATCAAATAGAAGAATTGGACTGGGCCCAATTTATTGCCATCTCTCAAAAAGGGGCCCAACAGCAATTTGAAGGAACTACTTTCAAGAGAACCCACGTGAAGTCTTCTTCTCAGACTTTGAAAAAGTCAAACAAAAACAACTATCACAGAGTTGATAAGAGAAGGTCAATGACTGGCAAACTAGGAAGGGATGTCTCTGAAAAAACTAAAAGATCAAATCCCTCTTATATATATATATATATATATATATGTTCAAAGATATTTCTTCTATTCCAGAGAAAGGGACTCTCCCAAGGAGAGATAAGCAAACTTCAATCTCAGAAAGAGATAAGCAGGAAATAGGGAGTTGTTCAAAATGAATCAAACTAACCATCACGGTTTTTTAGCTCTCACAAAGGGGCAGTTGGAATTAAAAAGGGATTAGGTCCTCTTTCAAGAAAAACAAGGAAGCGATTGCTTCTGAACTGACTATTGAGAACCCATTTGCCAGAATTGATAAAACCCTTTTTTTTTCTCTCATTTGAAAAATGAAAGATCTTTTTGAGAAATTACCGCCCATTATTTAAATATTAAAAATAAATAAATAAATAAATAAAAACCCTACTCCAAAGCATTTCTTATACAAACAGAAGGGAATGAACAAGGCAAAAGGATCTTACACTCAATTAACCAATCAAACAGACAACAAGAAATCAACCAAAAAGCTCACTCAAACTCCAAGAGAAGCCAGCTTTAGATTAGAATCCCCAAAGTCTAGACTTAGAAAATAAGTCATTTAAAACGAGATCTCTCGTTACAAATTTGGATCAGCAAATGCCAAGACAAGCAGAGCTTGAGTTTTTCCCAAATATGAAAACCTCAACAAATTTCACAGTGCAGTCCTTAACACACTGAGTCCTCAAGAATAGCCACTTCTGCCCTTTTAGACTGAAGAAGCCGTAGTTCTGCTCACTCAAAAGCCTCACAATGCTTGAAGTAGATTAAAGCTCTGCCAGAATTGAACTTTAGTATCGATTTACAGCTGAAGTTTAGCAGTTGAATTTTTTGACAACCCAGTCCAGCCCAGGCATATCCAGTCCAGGCCGAATCAGAGCCTTCTATCCAGGCAGAAATGGAGTTCCAATCCTCTTTCAATCTTTCTAGCGTTGATATGTATGTTTATAGTTGTGTAAAGGGCAGTTCTGCCTACAAACAGCTCAATTCCTATAAATTATTATGGCTAAAACAACCGTTTTTATACTTAGATAAATTCTGACAGTCCTCACCAATCTGAGGCATGAAAAAAACTTACTTGGGAGATATTTCTAATCCAAATTCACAATCATTTGTTTTTAGAAATCAATAACTTGGGGCGCAAGTTATCTACTCTAGAAGAAGTCTGCTAGAATTTTCATTGCTAGCAGTGGCACGCTCATACACCAAAGAAAGCTAACTTGTTAACTAGTCAATGGTTTTCAAGGCAATGTTGAACTTTGCCCTTCCATCTCAGGAGTAAACGCAAAACGGGGTGAACAATTTGGCACGCCCAGTGGGACTTCTCAGTATACATACTCTGACAAAATTCTTTTCAGGTTTATGAATATTGGAAGCTCTAGCCAGAACCCACATCACGCTATGGAGATAAACCAGGTGGCTCTCAGGGAAGGTCTGGAGTAAGAAGAAAGTGATGCTAGACAATCAACCCATGGCAGTACAGGAAGCAGACGTTCCAGGACCGGCTCCAGAAAGATGAATCAAATGCAGGAATCTGTATTCCGACAGGAGATGACAATACAAAGGAGTCAGGATACTCTCAATAATATGACAACCATGATGCAATGGCAGGTTAACAGGCAGTTCAGGAATGATCGTGAGGCTGCCATGGCCAGAATTCCAAATTCAGATGTTGTAGTCCAGCAGCTAAACCTTCTTTATGGCCCCCCCACCAAGATTAGCATGGCCATACCAAGAGAATCCTCTCATTGCACAGATAGCTGGGGTGCCAGAGCATGGAGAAATCCAAACTGGACAGAAGGGAGAAGCCCTTCCCGTCCAGGAACGTGAGGTCCTAGTCCGGCCAGAAGGCCCTGCACCAGTTCATATTCAGCAGAACCAGCTAAAGCCTCAGCCTATTCCACAACCCGTGGCCCCACATGATCAGCCTTTGGCACTTCTGCCTGAACCACCAACAGTGTTGCCCTACAGACCCAGAAGGATGGATTCCAATCCATCCCCTCCACTTGCAAGAGGAAGAAGAGGCAGAGGGGGAAACAACCTTTTTGCTAACAATGACAGGAACAGGCCGAGGGCAAACTAGAGAAATCATCCAGATCTAGAAGAGCAGGAAGAACACAGGGAGGAAGCTCTGCCCATACCATATAGGGCGGAACCCAGGATTGATTACGCCCAGCCAGAATAGGGACGAAATCTTCCCACTGTCAATGCTTTGAATGATGTGGGGGCATTACAAAGAATGATCAGAGAGTTGATGGAACTTGAAGCCAGAAGAGGAGAAAGGCCCACCTATAGAAAGCCATATCCAGCTTATATTGATCAGATACCTTTATCTCCAAGTTTCAAGATGCCAAACTTCACCTTGTTCAACGAAGAGGACCCCCATACTTCATCAGTTGAGCACATAGGCAGGTTCTCTGTCCAGTGCATAGCCATTGAGAACAACCTTCTTTTGAAGCTAAGACCTTTCGGGAATTCTCTTTCTGGACAAGCTTTCACCTGGTATACCAGTCTGCCAGCCAATTCTGTTCAGACTTGGGAGCAAATGGAAAATGTTTTCCATGACTATTATTACAGGATTCAGCCAGAAGTCACCATCAGTGATCTTGCTGCCCTCAAGCAGAGTGAAAATGAACCTGCCCAAGATTTCATAACTAGGTTCAAAAAGCTCAAAATGAAGTGTCGGATCCCCATGGAAGAAAGACACTTCATCCAGAAGGCTTAGGCTACCCTTAAAATCTCTCTAAGAAAAATATTTGACGGGATGTTGTTTGGAGATCTGGCAGAATTGGCTGACAAAGCATCCAAATATGAGGAACTGCTCAGGGAAGAACAACAAAGGAGGAACTCCTCCAAGGGTACCTACTACAAGACCCCTTCTTCTTCAGTCCACCTAGTTGAGGTAGAATCAGAAGATGAAGCAGAGGAGTCAGAGGAAAGAGAGATTGCCGTGGCAGATATGGCAAAATTGAAACATCTCATAAGTTGCAAGGCCCTTACAAAGCCACCAAAGGATCAGAAGCTGCCACCATTCACAGGAGGATTTGTTCCAAACAAACCAACACAGAATAAGGTTTATTCCTTTGATTTGACCAAGGTGGATGCTTTGTTTGATGAAATGTTGCTACAGAAAGCAATAGAAACACCCCACAGAGTACCCAAGCCAGAAGAACTCAAGGGCAAGCAGTATTGCAGGTGGCACAACTCCTGGAATCATTCTACCAATAGTTATGTTGTTTTTAGAGATGTTATATAGGAAGGAATAACAACAGGAAGGCTGAAGTTGGCAGAGAAACCCCCAACAGTCACAACAAATCTTTTTCCCCAACCACAAGTCAACATGGTCAACTTAAATTGGCCAGAACAAAAGAGGAGCAGGCCAACGACAGAAGCTAGATCCAGCAGAGGCAGAATAGTCTCAAGGGAAACTATTGAAAGAACAAAAGCAACTATCTCAGCTGGGGTAGTGCTCTGCATCAATTGCAAGTGTGAAGCTGAGCTAGAAGTGGCCCTGAACAGACAGAACCAGCCCACTCCAAGTGTTTTTGACAAGATTGGAACCTCATCCCGAGATAGAGCAAGGCAGAAAGACTATCTCAGGCCTGCCCAACGCAGCAAGAGGATGACAGAGCAACCCAAGAAGGAAATATCAATCAAGATGCCTGGGAATGAGAAACCTTTGGCAGCTATCATAGAAGGCAGGTGGTATTCTGTCGGAAAAAGTGGCAAACCAACCATGGAGTTAACCAGAACCCAGAAAAGGAGGGTCAAAAGGGATACACAGGTACTTCCAGGGACCGATTCTGCCAGAAAAGGGAAAAAGTCGAAAGTACTCCTCCAAGCAGAACAAGCAATCTCCCAGCCACAGAAGCTGTTGAAAGCATAATCTCCAAGCAAGCCTTCTATCCACCCTGCCTCATCCTCAGACAATCTACTTAAACCACCATAAGGAAAATCCGAAGTTGTTCCAGCAAAAGGACAAGAAGACTGGATTGAGGAAAATGAAGAGGAACAACTAGATTATGAACCATCTGCAGATGACCAGAATGCACTCCTCGAAGCAGGAGAACAAGGAGACTGGACAGAAGAATATGGGGAAGAACAGATGGAATATGATGGAGAAGTAGATGCAGAAACTGAAGCTTTTAGCCCAGAATTGGAAGACTTATTGCAAGGTGATTTGGGCATCAACATGGTGTTCATTATGCCAGAAAAATTCAAAGCAGCAGAAGGACAAGAAAGCACTTTCGAGGGAGATGTGTTCTCCTATGAGAGTTTTGAATGCAGGTTGGCAGAAGCAGAAGAGCCACCAAAACAGCAAACAGGTAATCACAAGACAGAAGGAACCACCAACAAACTAGCTGCAGAACAGCTTTGCTTCTCCAAACCAACCAAAGAGATGGCCAATCACATCAGACCCTTGTTCATAACAGCAAATTTTGGAGGTGTTCCCGTTCCCAAGGTCATGGTAGATGGAGAACCTGCCATTAATCTTCTGCCTCACAGAATGCTAAGCAAAATGGGCAGAGCAGGGAAGGATTTGATTTCAACACGCTTGACCGTCACCAACTTCGCAGGGGGCATCACCAAAACCCATGGGATCTTAGATGTGGATGCCATAGTTGGAAGCAAAAAACTGAAGATTACATTCCTTGTGGTAGACACCACTTCTACCACTTACAATTCACTGCTTGGCAGGGACTGGATTCATCAGAGTCTATGTCCCTTCCACTCTTCATCAGCAATTAGCTTTGTGGAATGAAGAGGGTCACATGGAGATAGTAGAGGTCGATCCATGGCCATTTCTACCTTCTGCCATGTGTTTTGAGGCAAGGTACTATCATGATGACCTTGGTCCTTTCACTTTCCTTGGAGTCAACTAGAACGGCTGCCCCCATGTTGTCACGGCCCAGAGGCTCATTAAAGATGGTCTAGCCAGTTCTCTAGAGGACTGGAATAGACCTTTTGTTCTAAACCTCCAGAACTTTGATGTTTAGTCCCCATCAACAGGAAAAGGATCGAGCTGCAACAATCCGATCCATTACAAAAAGATTGTTGATGTATTGGGAGGAAAGAAAGCTCTTCATGCAGAATTCAGCCATCAATATGGCATAATTCACCCATGAAAGCACGGAAGATCAAGAGGAAGAAAGTTTGCAGGAGGAAGTATTAGATATTGCACCAGCTGCCCTGGATGATTCTCTGTCAGAAGTGAAAGATGCTTTGCAGGAAATAAACTTAGGGACAGAAGAGGATCCAAGACCTATTTTCATTAGTGCACTATTGAGAGAACCACTTAAGAGTGAACTCATTGCACTTTTGCAGGAGTTCAGAGATTGTTTTGCTTGGCATTATCATGAAATGCCAGGATTAGACAGGGAATTGGTGGAACACAAGCTGCCAATTAATGATGGCTACCTTCCAGTTAAACAAGCCAGAAGAAGAATGTCTATTGACACAGAATTGAAGGTAAAAGAAGAAATAGAAAGGTTGCTCAAGGCAGGATTCATTAGACCAGCCATCTATGCTGATTGGCTAGCCAATATTGTACCAGTTCTCAAAAGAAAAACTGGGGTAGTTAGAATCTGTGTGGATTACAGAAATCTGAATGAAGCATCTCCTGAAGATGAATATCCCATGCCAATGGCAGACATGCTAGTAAATGGAGCTGCTCATAACTAGATGCTATCCTTTATGGATGGCAATGCAGGTTACAATCAGATTATGGTGGCAGAAGAAGACATCTACAAGACAGCTTTCATGTGCCCATGACATATAGATGCTTTCGAATATATTGTAATGCCTTTTGGTTTAAGAAATGCAGGAGCCACTTATCAAAGAGCAATGAATTCTGTTTTCCATGATGTTCGCGCTAAATCTCAACAGATAAGAGTTTATGCTAACTTACAAGTATGCTGATGGTTGAGGACCGGAGTGACCTTCTTCCGTGATGTCTGAAGGTTCGAACGGGGGCTGGATCCAACTTTAGGAGGGGATACCGGTGTGGTACCTGCCGAAGGTACTCCGATGCCAAAGTTAGTGACTAAGAGCGATTCTATTGACAGTGGAAGCACTAATCAAGTCAGAAAGTCTTACCACTTGGCTAGGCCAAGGGGCTCTATTTATATAGAGCATTTGTGATGCTCTTAGCACTTAGTTTCGATGTAGGACTCGTGGGAGTGTCTTCGGAGGTCGACACGTGATTCTGACAGGCTCTGGCGAGAATTCTGAGGTAATCTGCCATAATCAGGTTGATGTGATGGTTGGTCGATCGGTAAACGATACCGAAGGTTGGCATAGGTAGTGATGCTGCGTTACCGACCAACTGAATCGGTACTGAGTGTCGTGAGAACATTCGATATGGCCCCAGTTGAGCTGGTCTCTGGTTTGAGGGCGTTCCACGTGTCACGACGTGAGTGGGTGGTCAGATATGGTACAAAAACATGACATGATAGGGCATTCTTTGGAAGTATATATAGATGATGTGGTGATTAAATCCTCAGAGAAGGGAAATCAAGTATCAAATCTGAGAAAGGCATTCCTAAGACGGAGACAATATAAACTGAAAATGAACCCCAAAAAGTGTGTTTTTAGAGTTCAAGCAGGAAATTTCTTAGGATTCTTGGTCCACCAGATAGGCATAGAGATTGACAAGAACAAAGCAAAATCCATCATAAAAGCTCTACCACCAGATAGGCATAGAGATTGGGCCAAAAGCAAAACACACACAGGCCCACTTCTCAAAAAGGTCGTAGAGCAAGAGAAATAAAAGACCTGGGCTCCAAAATTAACAAAACAAGAAAGAACCTAGCTCACGTCTTTTTTCAGAGGGTGGCAGGATTGTAAAAATGCCAAAGCAAAATGGGCAAATACGTTCTAGACAGATCAAATAGAAGAATTGGACTGGGCCCAATTTATTACCATCTCTCAAAAAGGGGCCCAACAGCAATTTGAAGGAACTACTTTCAAGAGAACCCACGTGAAGTCTTCTTCTCATACTTTGAAAAAGTCAAACAAAAACAGCTATCACAGAGTTGATAAGAGAAGGTCAGTGACTGGCAAACTAGGAAGGGATGTCTCTGAAAAAGCTAAAAGATCAAATCCCTCTTATATATGTATGTTCAAAGATATTTCTTCTATTCCAGAGAAGGGGATTCTCCCAAGGAGAGATAAGCAAACTTCAATCTCAGAAAGAGATAAGCAGGAAACAAGGAGTTGTTCAAAAGGAATCAAACTAACCATCACGGTTTTTTAGCTCTCATAAAGGGGCAGTTGGAATTAAAAAGGGATTAGGTCATCTTTCAAGAAAAATAGGGAAGTGATTGCTTCTGAACTGACTATTGAGAACCCATTTGCCAAAATTGATAAAACCCTTTTTTTCTCTCATTTGAAAAGTGAAAGATCTTTTTGAGAAATTTACCGCCTTTCATTGAAGAAAGAAACCCTGCTCCAAAGCATTTCTTATAAAACAAGAGGGGATGAACAGGGCAAAAGGATCTTACACTCAATTCACCAATCAAACAGACAACAAGAAATCAACCAAAAAGCTCACTCAAACTCCAAGAAAAGCCAGCTTTAGATCAAAATCCCCAAAGTCCAAACTTAGAAAATAAGTCATTTAAAACGAGATCTCTCGTTACAAATTTGGTTCAGCAAATGCCAAGACAGACAGAGCTTGAGGTTTTCATATTGCTTGAGTTTTTCCCAAATATGAAAACCTCAACAGATTTCACAGTGCAGTCCTTAACATATTGAGTCCTCAAGAATAGCCACTTTTGCCCTTTCAGACTGATGAAGCCGCAGTTCTGCCCACTCAAAAGCCTCACAAAGCTTGAAGTAGATTAAAGCTCTTCCAGAATTGAACTTTGGTATCGATTTACAGCTGAAGTTGTTGACAGCCCAATCCAGCCCAGGCATATCCAGTCCAGCCTGGATCAGAGCCTTCTATCTAGACAGACATGGAGTTTCAATCCTCTTTCAATCTTTCTAGCGTTGATATGTATGTTTATAGTTGTGCAAAGGGCAGTTTTGCCTAAAAATAGCTCAATTCCTATCAACTATTCTGGCCAGAACAACCATTTTTATACTGAGATAAATTATGAAAGTCCTCACCAGTTTGAGGCATGAAAAGAACTTACTTGGGAGATATTCCTCACCCAAATTCACAATCATTTGTTTTTAGAAATCAGTAACTTGGGGCGCAAATTATCTACTCTAGAAGAAGTCTGCTAGAATTTTCATTGCTAACAGTGGCACGCTCATACACTATAGAAAGCTGACTTGTTGACCAATCAATGGTTTTCAAGGCAGTGGGGAACTTTGACTTTCCATCTCAGGAGTAAACGCAAAACGGGGTGAACAGGAGTTGTGGGGTTTTGGCAGCGGTTAAGAGGCTGGTTATGGTTTGGAGTAGTTGGGGTTGGGTTAAAGCTTTAGTTGGGTTGGCCATGAAGATGTGTCAGAGAGTGAGTTACATAGTCTCATGAGGTTGAAGAAGAAGAAAAAAAGGTCAGGGGAATGAGAGAGAGAGAGAGAGAGAGAATTTCAATTGTTAAAGTTTTAAATTTTATGTTTGTATTTTAATTTTTTAAAGTAAATAATGTTTTATTATTTTTCAATCTATGTTGGAGGTGGGCTCCATTTTACCACATCACCCACTCAAATTGCTGAGTAAATGACCTAGGTACCATGTCATTAAACTTAACGGACTTTTGGATGAAGTTGACGATAGGGGGCAATGTGAAACATCAAACCTTGGTCACGGAGTCAAAGTGTCACTTTAATTATAAAAGAGTAAGTGAAATTTGACCAATATTTCAAGATACACTGTAGCAATTAAGCTTTTTTTTGGGGGAGAGAACTTTGTGACCCTGACTCATAAGGATGTTGCAATAGGCCTGAATTTGGACTTTGGGTGCCATTTGATCTAGGCCCATCGTCCGTAACCGACTTAACTCGGAGTTCTCCCAACTCACTGTTTAATTACCGATTTATTCAATATCGGCTGCCTTTTTTCTAACAGAGAAAATCCTTAACGGTTTCTTTCACAGAACCAGACGCCATGGTGTTCATCACATCCCCCAACCACAAAACCCTAACCCTAAACCTAAACCCGAAGACCACCACCCTCCAAACCCTAAAGCTCCAAATCGAACAAAAATCCCAAATACCCATCTCAGAGCAGCGCCTATTCATCTCCCAAAGCCTCCAATTACTGACCCAAACCGGCTCCACCCTCCTCTCCGACCTCGGCATCAGACCCCTCTCAACCCTAACCCTCCACATCCCCTTGTTCGGCGGCACCCAACCGCCCAACGTCCCCAAACCCCGCCTCGAATTCCTCAACTCCAAGCCTCCCCCAAATTATGTCGCTGGGCTCGGCCGTGGTGCCACTGGGTTCACCACACGATCCGATATCGGGCCCGCCCGGGCCGCCCCCGACCTGCCCGATAGGTCGGCCACGACAATCGGTGGCGCTGCTGCTGCTGCTGCCCCGCCCGGGGTTGGCCGCGGTCGTGGGAAGCCTGAGGAAGAGGAAGAAGATGAAGGAGAGGATAAAGGGTATGATGAGAATCAGAAGTTTGATGAATTCGAAGGGAATGATGTTGGGTTGTTTGCATCGGCTGAGTACGATGATGAGGATAAGGAGGCTGATGCGGTTTGGGAAGCTATTGATACGAGAATGGACTCGAGGAGAAAAGACCGGAGAGAAGCTCGGTTGAAAGAAGAGATTGAGAAGTACAGAGCTTCGAACCCGAAGATCACGGAGCAGTTTGCAAATTTGAAGAGAAAGTTGTACACCGTGTCTGCTCAGGAATGGGAGAGCATACCCGAAATTGGAGACTATTCATTGAGGAACAAGAAGAAGAGGTTCGAGAGCTTTGTGCCAGTGCCCGATACGCTTTTAGAGAAGGCGAGACAGGAGAAGGAGCATGTTACGGCTTTGGACCCCAAGAGTAGGGCAGCTAGTGGTACGGAGACGCCATGGTCTCAAACTCCGGTTACAGATTTGACCGCCGTAGGTGAGGGTAGAGGTACTGTGTTGTCATTGAAATTAGATAGGCTTTCTGATTCTGTTTCTGGGCTGACGGTTGTGGACCCAAAAGGGTACCTTACTGATCTTAAGAGTATGAAGATTACTAGTGATGCTGAGATTTCTGATATTAAAAAGGCCAGATTGTTGCTCAAGAGTGTAACACAGACGAATCCGAAGCACCCACCTGGTTGGATTGCGGCTGCAAGGCTAGAGGAGGTGGCTGGGAAGATTCAAGCAGCCAGGCAGTTGATTCAGAAAGGGTGTGAGGAGTGTCCCAAGAGTGAGGATGTGTGGTTAGAGGCGTGTAGGCTTGCTAACCCGGATGAAGCTAAGGCTGTGATTGCCAAGGGAGTCAAGACGATACCCAATTCGGTGAAGTTGTGGATGCAGGCTGCAAAACTAGAGCATGACGATTTGAATAGGAGCAGAGTGTTGAGGAAAGGGTTGGAGCACATTCCTGATTCTGTTAGGCTGTGGAAGGCGGTTGTTGAACTGGCAAATGAGGAAGATGCAAGACTTCTGCTTCACAGGGCCGTGGAGTGTTGTCCCTTGCACATTGAATTGTGGCTTGCACTTGCAAGATTGGAAACTTATGATAATGCTAAGAAGGTCCTCAATAAGGCAAGAGAAAAGCTATCAAAGGAGC